GAGCATTACTTCAGTTTCCTCAAAATCGACGGTTTTGCGATTATCTGAGTGCAGAAAGTTTCATTTTTGCTGAATTCAAGGTCCCATTTTGCGTTCATTGACATTGGGTCGAATGAATGAGAATTTGATAAGACGTAACTCATGGATTAGAAATCATCGCGGAACGGGGTGGTTGTTATCGTGTTAATTGTGGGGAGATAATAATAATCATTCTTATATTTAATCAGTGGTGTAGTAGCGATAATTGTGGTTCTGTTGTACTCTGAAATGCTCAAGGAAAGTTGTATAAAGGGATTTTTTAAGGAAACCAAAAAATTCTCTCACGTCAGTTGATAACTCACAATTAAAGTGATTATGACGGTGAAAATGATAAACCTAGAAGTAATGATAGCACTAATGATATGGGCGATAGCGTAAGTAATGATAGTATCTCAATGATAATATGGTATTGATAATAACAACTTTGTTCAATGCGAATATCACGGTAATTTTGGCGACAAAGACAGTGTTAATCACAATAATCATAGCAATGGTAAAAAAAATGAGTTATAGTAACAGTAAGAAAAAATTGATTATCTTCATTCTGAGTTCTCATTGGAATAAGCATGAAAACTTATCAAAGCAGTTGTTTGCTTCTTTTTCGCCATAATGTGACACCACTAACAATGCGAAAAATCAACTGTTGATAGCCTGCCAGGTCATTGCTAGATTTGATTGATATCTTTAGCCATATAGAGATTTCTTTAGTCATATAGAGATTTTATCTAGCGTATCAAATCTTCTTGTACTATATCGAATGCTGCTATCGAGTAAAATTGCAGTGAGTGGTAATACGAACACTCAGACGCAGTCAGGTGCATATCAGCAGCACGGCCGTAAGATTTCACCGATTGGTGGACCACATCCCGGTGAACATTTGATAATGCGTCAGAAATTTGATAGCGCCGAGCGACCAACCGAGAACGGTGGTGCGAAGGTCATCTATCGATTAGCCTCTTTCGATAGCGCATCTGATCTGGGTTCGTTGATTCATCTTGGTTTGTTTCCAGCGATTATGGCGACCAAAAAAAAGTTCCGTCTCGGAAATCACAAATGAAATTCTGTCGTACGTCCGAATGCCTTTGATAAATCAGTATTGCAAAATCTGGAGTTTCTATGCGGTGCTTTCTCACTGTTTCTCAACCATGCATTCGCACATGTGCAAACAAATTGTTATAATTTGATCAGTTTTGAGAAACGAAAAAATCTTATACAGTTTTTCTCAAATTTCATAGAATTTCTAGAGCTTACTGAAGGAGGGCAAAATATTTTGGTTTGAAATGAAGCAAATTTAACGAGATGAAGTCCATCTCGCATGAATGTGTTCAGCAAATAATTGAAACGGTTCATATTCATGTCTGGAAAAACTTTCTTTCATTGTGCCCGTGTCATTATTTTGTGGAGAGATTCTCATATTTCACAGCGATCTTTTTGTTGAATAATAATAGTCTGAAAAGTTTTTCGGTGAAAATGTTTTGAAAATTTTTCGTTTTGAATAAATCAGTAAGTGCAGCTTGTCACGAGCATATAAGCGTCTCTCAATCATCATTAAGTATTGCTCGTTCTATTCAGTGGCTTCGCCATATCAGCCAAACGAATAACAGCTCACAGCTGGGGACAGCATCCACACTGAGTTTTTATGCAGAATCAAATTGAATACTGACTTTAGCCACTGCCGAGATGAGGCACTTTCAAAGTTTTCATCACTTATCTGCAGTCGTTTAACATTTAGCAGAGCAAAATGAACTGAGAATCCTTGAAGTTGTTTACGACAAATGGAAAATACTTGCTCCGTTATAGTCATTAATTTCAAAGGAACACTTACTTCATAAACGATTCACTATCTTTGATTGCACTNCACTTAACTCATATTTACTAGATTTTCCAAAGCGAAGGATTTCAAAACCTCTAAAATGTTGTTAGCTTCAAAACATCCGGGCATGATCGCTAGCTACTTCGTTGAGGTGGTTATTGTAGGGTGTGGCGCAAGTAAACAGCTCTCGGAAGGCATTAAGTAATAAAAAGACTACTCAATAACTACTTGATTTATGTGGGTAAAATCAATTCAATCGATTCAGTTCAGTACGAATGATGTGCAATCTGCGAAAATGAACTGAAAATGAGTTATTCAAGTCGGAATTTTAAGCAACAGGAAGATAAATTTTTCAGGCCCCGATTCGCGCAAACAATCAGCCAACAACGACGAACAACACTATCAAATGCTTCTGCAGCAAATTCTTGGTACTTATTTCGTTTCATTTTTTGTTTAAATCTTTATTTGGTTCAATTTTATTCAATCCCGAAAGCGTCCGTCCACCTTTGATCAGTTGAATGTCCTCATTGTGCTCATTATTAACGATGAAGTTCATCTCCCTCTATCAAAAGGCTTCATCGAGCGCTTTCTCCCGGAATTCTCTCAAATTTCATCCATTTCAACATTCATATTTCACATTGCACTCTCATTGGTTCCTTCTTTGTTCAAGTCGGCTGTTCCCTCTCTCTCTGTCGAAGTTCTTCGAATAAAATTTTTCATTTATAGAATCAGTGCAATGGTAATGTGTCCATTGATATTGACCATACACATCGTTTATCAGTATTGATGTCTTCCGTGCAAAAATGTGAAAATTTTATGGAAGTCTGTCGGAGCATTTGAAAAATTAGATCGAAAACTTTTCGAAAACAAAAAGTAATTTGTCAGCGAATGAAAAGTTGTTCTGTTGGAATTTGAGGCAGCTAGCTAATTGTTAGAAAAATGAATTTGTTTTTTCAATGAAATCGACGAATTTTCAAGAAATTCAAGTCAATAAAGAATCGTTTCCTTCGATTTTTTCATCAATTGTTTTGACGGGTGGGGAAAGGAATAATAGAAATAAAATATCATCTTGCTGCGATAGATCATTATGCCATTCGAAAATTTTTTTGGCCATTTCATTTTTCTGTTCATCATGAGAGTGTATTTCAGAAAAAAAACTGATGAAAAAATCTATAGGGAGCTTTTAAGAGCTAGAGAACGTCAAATTATCGAAGCAGCATGCCTTTCGCTGTGTGCGACGCAAAATGAAGCCAATTTCCGGAGAATATTGTACTTCAACCGATAAAATTCTAAATGAAATCAGTGCAACCATCAGGCAGATGTCAAACAGATGTCTCAGTGATCACGTCAACGAGTTCTGTACGATTGCTCTGCGATTTCACTAATTGAATCGATTTCCTCCGCATTTCACATTTCCTTGAATGGAAATTTCCGGTCGCTGGCTAAACTTTCTCATCATTTGGCTAAAATAAGATGATAACTGTCTGAAGCCGTGTAATGTTGATGAGAGCACCACGATAAACGAGTGCTCTGAACTTAGAATTTGAAGCTTTAAGGATGATGTTTTTGAGTGAATGCATTCATTACTGTCAGTTTATGGTGTCCTAATGAGTGAATTGTTGCATTAAGCTATTTTCTTGCTCGTCAGCCATCCAGCACCATTTCTTACAACCAATAAATTCTTTCCCATTTTGAATTCAGTTGCAGTTACCTGGTACTAACCGATCACACAAAATCGTTCCTTTCGTGGTATTCAAATCATTTCCTAGCTCTAGGTAAAGATGGTAACGCGGCCTCCAATTTTTCGACTCTTCGATTTTCCAAATCACTTTCTGTGGATAATTTCTTAAGAAGTGGCTCCTGAAATGCAAAAAACTGCCCTCACTTTCAATAGAAATCTCTGCTTAGTCTGCATAAATTCTAGATATGATCCGTAATGATCCATATAATATTGATGAAGTTGTGCGTACGTTTATTATCTGTCAAGTGCAAACCCAATTAGCAATGAGACTTGATCAAAAATTATGGGACGATAGAGTGAAAATAGAGGAAGGATTTGAAAGATGAAAATTTTTTGAATGAAAGTATGGAAAACAAATCCATTCGACTATGCTTAGGTCAAGAACTGAAAACCGCTTATGCCCGCGGGAAATGAACTTCTAGCAGTTTTGCACTCATCCAAAAAATTTTACATAGATAAGTAAGAAGAGACATAACCTATTCGTTTATATAAACAAGTCGTTATTATCCCTATTGATTCACTTCGAAGCAAATCAACATCTGTTCCAATGCAACGGAATGAATAATTTGATGAATCATTTTAGATCTTGTTATCAGACAATGAATGTTTATATTTTGAAGACATAAGCCAAAAATTTCTTCAATGGTTGAACGGTTTTGCTTTCAAAAATTTCAGAGAATGGGCGGATAACCCAAGCAGCAATCCTATCCCGGTTCCGGGTGAACCCGGCATTCGTACCGTCAAACTTCCATGTTTTCATTGACAGCGGCGGATAACCACGGGTGTTCTATGAAAATTCCATGCATGTGAAGCACATGTCATTTCTACCCACTTATGCAGTAATTTGTTTGCGTCTTTTGACGGAATTTCATTCAACACAAAATTTTTAGAAGAGTCTTGTCATCCAATTTTCAACGTATGCATTTTCACGCGAAACTTACACTTACTCATTACATTGACTCGAGAACTCGAATCTCTTGATATCAGCTATTACTAGTTACTTTTCAATTACCACTTCCTATTTCTATCTGTTTGCTAAATTTTTTTGTTTCGTCATTTCGAAAGTGCACATACTTTGACTCTCAGAACCAACAGCAACAGCACTAACTAATCCAATAGATGAGATTATGTACGTTGCCATGATTGTGTTCATGCAATTTTCCTCAACCGTCTCCTGGCTTTTTTTCCGAAAATCCAGCAATCAGCGAACTTTCAGTTCTAGAGCTAGTTTGCTTTTGTTTCCGAATAATCATTGATCATTGCAAATAGGTAGATAAGCCGTGGTGCTGAAAGATTCTCTTTTCTAACGAACAATCTGTCACATTTTGTGTTTCATCTTCGAGAAAATGTTATTTTCATAAAATGACATTCAGTTGTCCGTTTTCGCTCTGATAACAAATCCAAACTTCAATTAGCGCATCGATCTCAGTTAGCACTCTGAAGTGTTGACAATTGCGAATCTCATTAAAAAAGCATCGTTTCGAAGCTTTGAATGGCATTTTCTGCGGATCTATCTGCATTCGAAACATTACAGGATAACACAATCGTATGAGTTATCAGATGAATTTGCCAATACATGTATTTATGCGCATTGTGTACACGAACATTGACGTTCGTTAACAATTACCTAGCGTCAGGCATATTTGCGTGACTAGCCCTCATCATTTTTGAGCGATCATTTTGAGGGGAACAATTCTTGATAGTCGGTCGTCATAACCGATGATTGATGTGGTGTATTCTGAGTGATTGCTCACATATGCCGAACGCAACGCTGTAAAACTGGACTGTTGAGCGTAAATAACGCTTATGATGTAAGCACTCCCTCGAAAATGATGAATAAAATGAGTCAATTTTCTGCCAGCATTCACAATTTCTGCGTTCGTATCTAATGCATGCACCGGCTGCTACACATGTCAGAATAAATCTTTCAAACCAACTATTTTCAAGCGCAATTTTCTTTCGTAACAGAGACAGACATTGTAATTCCAAGAACGCTTTCGTAAGTAAGTTTTGATCGCTTTAATTGCATCGGCATTCATAGAATAGCGCTCAGCCAAAACTCTGCGAACATTATTTTTGTGTTTGCGCTCAAAAAGCAGTAAAAAATCGCTTGTGAATGCATCATTTACCATTTCTCGAAGTTATTTTATTTTGCCATTCATTCACATCTCCTCATTCGGGCGTATCCGAATAATGCGAATATGAATAAGCATCTAAATTATTCACATCTAGTCAAATGAATGTGCAAAATCAACCAATTCGTTTCTAATTCGGTAAAACATCATTTTTGCGAAATGAACGAGTGACACACAGCGCTAATGAACGCACTGAATAACTTAAGCATTCAGTGATTTTGCCCTTCAATCACTCATCAATAAGTTCACGAGTTTTATGTTTAGTTTTTCATATTTTACTGCACATTTAGTAGTCAACTATTTGCCTGCTTTTTTTCATTTCTTTCAAATGTTCATAAGTTTTTCGAGANTAGTCAACTATTTGCCTGCTTTTTTTCATTTCTTTCAAATGTTCATAAGTTTTTCGAGAAAAGATCAGGTCACTTTGATCGCTTTAAGTTGAAAAATATTGTTCATCGATTTTTTAATGGAAACACTGAATATCTTCATCGATGTAGTCGCTGATCTTTCTTTGGATACATACAAAAAGTGTTACGTGAGGTGAATTGCTCATAATTGATCCGAATGACTGACACGTGAAAAAATTAAAATTTTATGGATCTGTTGGACTTGAGTGATTGATTCGGAATTGAAGTGATCGACAAAAATCAAAGCGACTCTCGCTCCCTATTTAGCACGTTACTTTCCAGTTGCTCTCTCATATTCCATCGATTTCGACAACGCTTCTTGCTGAATTTGGCCTTCGTTCTCGTTTACTTCAGTCGAATTCTTCTAATCATTAGTATCCACCCACCATGATGTTCAATGAATTCATCACGAAGTATGAATGCAATCAACTCTGTTTTCTGAAAAAAAAGTGTCAGTGATGAATGATGAGACTGAAGAATTGTCCTAGAACTATCCAGAATAGGCGTTCTT